GAGCTTTTGCAGCGTCTCATTCTGCGATACATCAACAACAATCCACTCGTAATTATGGCGAATTGCATAGCATTCAAATAAGTTTTGCGCTAATTCATAGTTATCGCTGTTGCTGCGATCTTTTAGTACAGTTACAATTGCAATTTTTGTGCCTGTCCGTTCTGAAAAACACCTAATATTATGGTTGTGCATTAGCAAAAAACAGCGGAAGTTTTGCACACGCTTTCCCAATTTATTCTGCATTCTTACTTTCTCCCTTTTGCCCACATACAATATATGATCTATATCTTAGTGAATAAACGTAGATTCATCTGCATCCTCCAGAATGTGCAAAGAATTATGGAAAACGTCGTACACCTCATAGTTCTTTACTACAAATTGGTTGAGAAAAGTCCTCTTTTTCTCGAATAAAACTGTGAAACGACAGCAAGACCTCAAAAAAGTAGGTTCTAGAAAATCATATCACCTAAGCGAGGGTAGTGTTTCATAGGATTTTTTTCTTGCATACAGGTATCGGAGTTCCCGAACAATAAATAAATCAAGTTTAAATTGAAAGGTAGGAAATGAACTGAATCTCCACAAGACCGGTGAATACTTTGGCATATTCAGGTCATTACCCACTGAAACGAACCTCCATCAGTCACTTCATTTTTATTACTTGTAATGCGCAAAAAATAATTTTGAAATTACAATATTTTGAGTAGGAAATTATTGGTTGACGAAGCATTAATGAACAACAGGAGAGGCAGGGACATGAAAAATAGAAAAATTTCAAAGCTTTCTTTACGAGACGAATGAATTTGACTACGAGATTATGTGAGTAAAGTGGTTTCTTTTTTTGTGGCACTTAATGCTGTGGTGTCCGTAAATATGCAAGAGTTCTGAAACAACAAATAAACCAAGTTTAAATTGAATGGTAGAAAATGAACGGAATCTTCACAGACCGCTAAATACTTTCGCATGTTCACTAAAATGGGCCTCTATCAATTTTACTATTTATAATGCGCGGGAAATAATTTTGAAAATACAATCTTTTAAGTAGAAAACTATTGGTTGTCAGAGCAAAAAGTATTGTTAACGAACAACTGTAAGAGGGAGAAACATGAAAAATAAAAAAATTTCAAAGCGCTCTTTACGAGACAAATAAATTTGATTTTGAGATCATGAGGATAAAATTTTTTTTTTTGTGGCACTTAATGCTGAGGTGTTCGTAAATATGCAAATCCATACATCAGTTATTAGAAATGCCAGACGACTAAGCAGTGAAGTTTTCAAAAGTTTAAGATAAAGAATTAAGACCAGTCTACACAGTTCCGATATAATAATTTTCAAAATTCATTCGATACTTCATTGCCTGTCAATAATTTCTAAGTATTTTCAACGGGACACCGTAAAAAGTGCTTTTTGCATTAGGCTGCTGTTCAGTAAACTTTCTGGGGTGGTCTTCTGTCATGTCACCGTAAGATTTCTCTTAAATTGCTCCCATAAATGAAACGCACCCCCCTCCCCTCAAACTGGCATTACAGCTAAAATATGAGATTTTATCTTCAAGCTTCATAGACAATTTGAATTTTGATAGCAGTTGTTCAAAGTTTAAAAAATTAGTTAATAGTTTTTTGTTGGAAAAAGTTGTAAGTAAAATGACTTAATGATAAATGGTCTCTAAAAATGCTTTTGAAGACCTGAAACGTCTTAGCAATCAGATATTTTGTGGAGTTCTTCTTTACCATCCACAGGCGATAAACGTTACCTTGTTCTCTTGGGATTATTCGGCTAGCTTCTCGTGTAAGTCTGTTTCCAGGAAAACAACTGAGTGCAGTAAAGGTAATTTTAAAGAATAAGTAACTCAGGAGGGAGAAAGTTACAAATGAATATCTTTGAACTTTGCCGAGTTTAAGCATTGAGACTCAGAATTTCCTCCGTGTACTGGAGCAGTGACGAAGAAGAAGAGTAGTAAACCGATGAAAACAGTTGAAATCTGCAACTTCATTTTTGGGCCATTGTTGCTCACCAGGTAGGCTGCTTCCCAGTCAGTAATGAAGCAAAAAGTGTGCCATCAATTTGTATTATCTAATTTATGCGTTAACGGCGATCGCTGGTAATCATTAGTTGTTTTAAACAGGTCGAAGGACAAATTTAAAGATGAGAATGAATAAAAAAATTTTTTTCAAGGAACCTTAACCACCACTTGTCCCGAAGGTAAATTAGAAAAACTTAAACAAATTATTTCCATTGCCGTAGCAAGTATATGCAAATCAAAAGATTAACGAACCCTGGCGACGAAATATTGATAAAATAAAAAGTTACTGTTCTTAGTAGTATCTTTTAGACAGTTTTGACCATTTTAATAATGAAGATATTTTATCCGATTTGTAAGGTTAATTCTTATCTTAAACAATGGTGCTGTGAGCTCTCGAGACTGCTTGAACAAATGAATAAGAAAAAAAGATATATGAAACCTGATCTTAGCTCGACACTAGACCTTTATCGTTTTGACAATATCTTCACCAATATTTCGAATTTAAAGCTACTTTACGAAGTACATGTTTTTTTTGCAGTTCAACACTAAAGAAAAAATATTACTCTGCTTTTGTATGCGTAAAGTGGCCATTTATTTGTGTTCTTGTGGAACTAAACTTCCTGAAATAATCTGTATGTACAATTTAAAGTCTTCATCCCGCCTTAAAAATTCAGGGCAGAAGATCAAAGCACTCCTGTTTGTCACCCATGATCCGAACAGAAAGCTTTTTTTTTTTCAAAAACAAAAAAACATTTCCAGCAAACTCTATTCGTAAACAAAAAATTATGACTTCAACTTTCAAGCGTCATCCTTGCCAAATATGACAGTTACTTAAAAAATGCTTTAATTTTTTCTACATAAAACTTTTCATCTTTTTAAAAATGTTAAATTTTATTAAAATACCAAAAAGTTTTACATTTTTTTTGTTTAGGAAGCAAGAAAGAGCGACTTGACCGCATCGGCATTGAGTGCTTAGTATTTACAGCCAATTTCTACAGTAATATTTAATGACTAGAAGCCAACTTACAGTTAATGGTGAAAGCTGAGTTTGAATTGACCTTAAAACGTTAAAAATTCGAATGCAGGGAAAGCTATAGGACAGTGAAATCGGCGAAGAATTGACGCTAACCCAGAAACGGGCTTCGCGGCAAACTTCTTTTATTTCTATGTATCTTTTTTTCCTTGACTCAATAGACTACCTTCACCAGGACGTAGGCAGTCTAAACAGGTTAAAACCTCTAGAATAAACCCGTATTGCTAAAAAAGAAAAAAAAGTCCCTTAAACGTCTCTGAATAATGCATCACTTTGTATGGAGTTTAGACAAAAAGTTCGTCGTGGAAATCAGCCAAGAAAAAAAAATTTCGTTGCAGAATTACCGATTGATTAAGCAAAGCGATCATCTTTTAAATTTCTGGATTCCGGGCTTTTCTAATCGCTACTGTCCATTTGAGGAACACATTTTCAGCCGTATTTGTGTCTCAGCTTTGTTCTAGTGTGAAAATAGATCTTCATTTTTCTTTGGCCTTTAAATTTTCTGGCTCTTTGGTTATTAACATAAATATATGTTTATATAAATATATATACAAAAAGAGGACAACGAAAGAAACAGGAGAACGGCAACTGACACGCCGCTACAGAGACTTAGGCCACATTTGCAATTAACTTTTCTGTAAATAGTCCAGTATTTCTAAAATTTTCCAGTGTATTTGCAAGTAGTTAAGGTTAAAATAAATTTCTCTTTCAAGAGAAATATGGAAAAACATGTGCTGTTTTAAAAAATGACGAATTTCAATTGCGCATTATACAGAAAGAATACAATTTGAGAAGAAAGAATACAAACGCGATATATCTGGGTATATGGTTCGAACAGGTCATTTTGAAAGAGTTTTAACTGGTCTGTACTTGCAGTAACAGTTCGTAGCTTGGGTTATAACAGCTTCAGATTTTCTTGCTATTCATCGATATATGGTGTAGCAGTATAGAATGTCTGGAAAATACATATATGTGGCATAGTTCCTAAACAGTAAGTTTTGGTTCTTTTTTTTCTTTTTTCTTCTGTCATTTATATAACTTTTTATTTCCGCAGAAATTGCTAGATAGCAATTCTCAATTGGGATTCCCGCTGCCGTTCGTTTTTGCAGGTATATGTTGAACGCAAGCAAGATTAGAATGGACGACGAAAAATATTTATATGTTCCACTCTCTCTGCTTTTTGTAACGTTGAGCGAAAATCATGAGCAAATATCATTCGCTTACCCATTTCAATCGTCAAAAGCAGTGAATTGCGGTAATATTTTGCAGATTGACTGTTCTTCCCTTCAGAAACCAATTTCCAATTTTTATGCCTTACGAGATGAAAAAAATAAAGGTTTTTGGAATTTCAAACGCAACCTTGGTCATCTTAAAGTATCTTTTGTCAGGGCACATATACCTACAACTTATCAACTTTAATTGTTTTTTAGCTGATAGTTAAGCAGCAGATTTGTTATATTTTATAAATTTCATTGGGAAAGATTAATTTTGATTACTTTCATTTGTTTATTTCAGTTTGCAAGTGCTGAATGTTGTAGCCTTCTTTAGGCAAATGTGTTATAGAGGAATGTCGACAAATGATTCATTAAATTTTCTGTTGTAAATTACGGACGGTACATTTAGTTTCTGAACTGTTAAAAGTGAGAGTGAGATCTGTGAAAATTGAAAATGTGGCAACATGCTTGGATGACGAATTCCAAGTGCCACTTGATCTACTTGAAAATGTTGTAATATACTCTATGTAGAAGCGAAATATACAATTTGATAAGATTGTTGAGCAGTGGTGAAACCTAGCATTTTAGAGGATATTTTATTATTTCTGGTTTAAATCCTGATACATGCTTCTTAAGAGTTTTAGAGGATCCTTTGCGTTGCGAAGCTATTAATCGACTAGACTCGATCAGTCCGTAAGTTTAAATTTAAAAGTTTTTGCCATTAAATTTCGCCATTTAAATTCAATAGTTTTCGTTATATTTTATGTATAATTACTTTTGCAACTTCTGTGAATAATCATTTTTTTATTTTGCTTCTCATAATAGCTAGAAAACCTTGAGAACACTAATTTTCGTTTGTTTTTATGTGCTCATTTATTCTGGTCCAATTACAGCGAGCGTAAGAAAAGAACTGCTGAGATACACGGGTTAGTTTCTGATTTTTAACATTTTTTCTACCACTTATCAGTCTTTGTGAGAAGATGAAATTTTTTAAAGAAAAGGCGTTTCCAACTTAGTTCTTGTATTTCACCACTGTTCTTGTCTCAGGAAAATGGTTTTAAGTTTCCGTAGTGATTGTAAATAATTTTCTTTGCAGGCTGGAACCCGAAATTCTTGCTCATTTGCTCTCTGGAAAGGGAGCCACAGACCTACCCTTTGAACTGAAGATAGATAACTTGCGCTACGTAGGGTACCCGAAGATGGTTTGTTTTTCAAAATGTCTTATTATGGAAGCGAGTTTGGTTTAGCTGTTTTTAAGTTTACTTTTGACAAAAGTGGAATGGCTCTTTTGGAAGGAGAAGAGAGACAGTAGCTTCTTCAGGTTACAGTTCCACGAGAACGCGCACCCAGGATCTTTAATGTTGTTTTTGTCGTGAGTGTAAATATGCCTGCAGATTTAGTTACCTCCTATGAAGAATTAAGGTTTGCAGTGGTGTTACTTTTTAGTTCTTAGTGTAATGCATCTGGGTTTACCAAGTTTTTTTCACAACTTGTAGATAGGTGTTTTCCTAAAATTTGTGATATTTTTCAGTCAGAAGATAGCAGTTGCTATTGATAGTGAACAAACTCGTTGTAATTACTTGAACACTCATATGTCAATTATGCTGGATGCTCACGACACCCTTGACAGGCTACAATGTAGTTTTTATAAAAATGAAAGATTTTTAAATTACAGATTGTATATTGAAAAATTCCACATTTATTTGGGCAGCCTAAATGAAATGCATTTTTTTTTAGCTTCAGATTCGTCACACTCTAGGAATTATGAAGCCGAATGCTTTCACGAAATTCTTTTGAATAGTACTTTGGCTGCTGATTTGTGCAATATATTTATCGACATAAGTGATCACGGCCTAGTTTCTGTATTTTTGAACAAAGTGGTTGAAATTGGTTTTTGCCTTATGGAGCGTTGTATGGTTCAAGCAGGATTGGCTCCAAAAACTAGGTCTCCAGGAAGTGTTCCTTATGAACTTTTTCGCTTTACAAGAACCAGTTCAGTTTTTTTTTAAGCAAAAATATTGTATAGGTTTAAACTAGGGTTTCTATTTCGTCGGCATTCCTTTTATACTTGAGAACATTCTTTTTTTCATACTATGTTTCTGATTATCATTTGACGAAATAGTTTAGTGCAATAATTTTTAGTAAACAGATAGAAGCACAAATACGCTGGATTCGGCCCTATCATGCTATATTTTTACTTGATGATACTATTCCTGGTCCAGATGCTAGTTCTGATTTACAAAAGATTAAGGAGTTTTGTACTCCAGACCGTAGGTTGGTTTTTTATCACATTGCTCCTGTAACTTTAGTTTATTTTTTTACCGAAAGATTCTACGCATGGTGATTTTTCTTTGATATAGTATCATGGATATTAGCAATGCGTCAGGCCTCGCAACAATGCAAGTCTTTCTAATTGTTCGTCATTTGCTGCTATGGGCGCGAGCTATTGTAATATATCCAATTTGTCGTGAAAACTTTTATTCTTCTTGTTCACACCCGCAACTTCCATTACAGCAGTAGGTTATAGTATAATTCAAGTGTTATATGTTGTTAACGTTGAAGCTTTGCTGAGAGTTTGACAGCCTTAAAAAAATGATCAGAATCTACGAAACCATATGTGAAAATTGAAGTTAATAAGTAAAGTGTCACGATATTAATAATTTCTGCAGTGTTACAGCTATACGGAGAAGTTCCGCTGCATTTTCCAAGAGGATCTGGCTGTAGTTTTGGCTCAGTTTTCTCCTTCTTCTACACTTGATCAGTTTTTGGACCCTTCAGTTTACAGCGAATATGATCAGGTTTGCTGTAAAATAATATAAGTAGTTGTACGTTTAGGGTGAACGAATCGTTGAATATGCTGCATCACTGTTGATGTTCAATCTTACACTGTCATGCCTTTAATGAATTGTTCTCGATTCACCCCCGACAATTTTCCAAACACTTGAAATCATTGACCTTTTAGATATCACTGTTTCAGTTTCTGTATTTTCTTGCAGTTTATTATATTTGTATCTATATTTTAAGATGGTGAGGTATAATATGTTGCTGTACCTTCTTCGTTATAATCTGATTGTTCAACTTCATACCTTTATTTACTTGATGGAACCGTTTTCTGATGAAACAATGGATCGGTGAGGATTTTTACTGCATACTTTTATGTCGTGTTTTTTTAGTTGTCAGTTGTGTTTACAGTTTTGCTCTGTTAACTGGGTTCCTTTAAGAGACGCGGTGTCGAAATTAGATGATAATGAAGTACGCCACCTGCTGGAAGAAACCACGTTGTCTGACGCTCTGAAGTGCCACGTTGCTGAAATATGCGGCGCTTTACTAGGAATAATGCCAAGAGATCAAGTTCTCATCAGTCTCAACTTATTTATCAAGTTAGTGTTTATATCACTTCAAAGTTGTCGTTCAATCCTAGTTGAAAGTTTTTTGAATCTTGCATTTTAGTATGATTCCACTGCTGAACGGTGAACATCACGTGGAGGATATAATGTTCAGACTAAACAAAGGCCGTTTGGTTATAGTTAAAGTTTTAGAGCTGTTTGCGAATGTCTTATGCACATTTGAAAGGCCTGATTTCATTCACAGTCAGTTTACATAAATATTTTTTGCTTTATTATCGATCTAGACGGGTCTGTAAATTCAGAAAAAAAACTTATGCTTGACAGTTAAATACTGTATTTACACGTCATAATTCACAGTTTTGTTTACTAATTGCTATTTGCCTTTGATTATATCTATAATAATAGGTTTCAGTTGAAAAATGAATAAAGCTTTACTTGATAACTGCTGTAGGTTACTTAACCGTTTGTTACTTATCTTCTAAGCATGAATACTTCTGAAATGTGACGGTTATTTTCATCATTATGTTTGTATTAAAGTCAGATGACTCAGTACCCGCTAACACACGCCTTTATTTTGCTCGTTCCGCTACCGTTGAATCTGTTGTGAACAAAACACATCTTAATTTTAGCCTAGTTCTCGTAGATTGTTATTTTTGGGACTGAATTGAAGAACTTTGTAATCGGTGCATTTTGTGTTTCAGTTGTAGTGGAGAATGGCCGAGGGTGGAAGGAATATTGAAGATTACAGAAAATTTGTGAAAGAAAGGCTTGAAGTGGATTATCAAGCTGTGATCAAGGAAATAAATGTTATTAATAATGAGATCAAGGATTATGAGATACTTCAGTTGGCAATCAGTAAGATAACGGTAGTTTTATATGTAGTTCTTCTGAAGAGTCTTATGAGTTTAGAAAAATTATTCGATTGGAAGAGTTCATAACAACTCTGGCTTTGACTATTTTCTTACTAGCTTTTCTAATTCAAATAGGTTCTATCGTCATTTTGTGAGGGACTTTGTTCTGACTGAAATTTTTATTTTCAGGGGCTTGGAATTAAAAAAGGGTTAGAAATGCAAGTAAATATAGGGAAAAATATTTTTTGTGAAGCAAATATGTAAGTGTTATGATTTAAAGATGTTTATATACTACATTCAACTGTCGTTAAAGTTTTTCTCCTTTCTAAGATTTTTTCTGCGTATTAAATACAATTACTCAATTTTCAGCAGCAATTGTGAAAGAGTCGTAGTGAAATTAGGTGGAGATTTGTTTGCGGAATTGACGTTAAGCAGAGCTGAGGTAAATTTCTTTATAATGCATAGTTCTTGGACACTTGATAGTCAGATATAATAAATTTAATATAATAAAATTTAATTTTTCAACTTTTAATTGAAATGAAAAATACAAACTTTTTTGCTTACGGGTTTCACCGTTTTAAAATATACCTATTTCAAGCAGTTTATTGAAAAAAGGCTTGAGGTGTTAAATCAGAGAGCAATGTTTTTCGAAAAGGAAGCTCATTCTATACAGGCAAGGATACATCTAATTCTTTCATCGCTGGACCAATTGGAGGTGTTAGACGGGACCGGAAGTTAAATTGGGAATTAATCTGGCTTTTGATCTTCTATTTCTGATGTTAATCGTTACGCAGATAAAAATGAAAATTTGCTGTGATGAGCAAATATTTGAGATGCGTTTGCTGTCGAGGGGCAGATATGTGATGTGTTATATGCGAGGAGACTGTTATTAGTTTGATTTTGTCGTTATCACTGGCCTTCGATTGCTTGCTGATTTTTTTAATTGTATTTGTTTCACTTATAAGGTAAAAATCGTACTGCAGGGTCGTAAAAGCCCCTTCATAGTGTCGTACCAGTCGAGAACCGAACAAATAAACATTTGCATCTGTTTTGAATGATTTTTTTGGGAATGGATGAATCTCCCAACTTCTTTTTTGAATCTGTGGTGGTATGTAGAGGATGTGTTAAACGTCGTATGCCGTGTAATTGAATTGTTATCAGATCACATTGGTTTGTTAAGTGGATTGCTTTAACCGATGATTTGTCGAAATGGTAGTGCGGTTGAGAGAAGCGACGGTAAGACGTTGTTGGTCGTTCAAAAACGACAAGCGTTTAAAGGAACCACCGCCGAATGTCACTCGTGCCTTAACCGCAGTAGCCACAAAACTTGCAGAGGAGATACTATACCGGTTCGAGCTTTAGACTTCTCGGCAAAAACTGTTTTGATTTTAAAGCAATGATATTTTTTTTACATATAATTTTAGTATAACGTTTGCTGGCGTAGTGATTCTGTTTACTCAGCTGACCTCTGACAGTTTCTTTAGCAGCGCAGTAAATACTAGAAATGGAGGTTCAAGGCGAGTAACGCTGGATAATTTGCAGCGGATAATTATTCAAGTGATTTTGGACTTCGGCCTGTAGAACCTGGAGTTATCGGTTGGAGAAATCAAAGGATGACGTGCTTAAATTGTTTTCAAGTTTGTACCAGGCCGACGGCGCTGT